ATCTTCCAGTATACCCCCAGTATCTTCCCAGTGTTCTCCCTGAGAGGATGCTCTAGCTAGAAAGCTGTCCGGGTACCTGCACAGGTCTTGAGTTCCACCCATGACTCACACTTTCTCCTGCTTCCCCACCCACATCTCCTCCTCGGCTCCTCCTCCCCAGCCCCAGGGGTTCCCCAGCCTGCTTGCAAAGACAGAGGTCTTAGGGGAAGGCTGGTTTTTACTTCTTCCTTCCGACAGGCCTGTTTTTAATGCATCCTAGAGCCTCTTCAACCAAGAAGAGGAAATGAAAGTTCCCCCATAGGCATTTCTACGGACACAAAATCCCTCTTTATGGAGAGGCTTAAGAGACCGAAGTTTAAAGTACTGCCCCAAACTAAGTTTTAAATCTACCTGTGACATTTTATTAGCCTGCTTGCTATGCTAGGCGGTCCTGGATTTCCGAATGCATTTAAACTCTGTCCGGTCTCCTTATTCATTTGAAAGTTCACTATATTTCACAGCCTAAGCCTCGCATCCTGAGAGTGATTTGAGAGATGAATACCTGGGAAGTTTCAGCACTGAATTTGTCCTTTGGTATTACAGCTTTCCAGGCTGATGGCTTTGGGTTTAGCCCATGAAACGGTTCTGGGTCTTATTATGAAGGCAAAGTTATGCAGTGGATCCAAGAAGAGCTTGTCAGTTGGCATATGATTTGCTGAAATGCAATCACCCAGACGTCAGGAGTGGATTGCTTTTTCTTCCCACTGGCACTTGGGGAATTTGCTTTGACATTTCAAAAATTTGCATCTGTGGCGGGGTGAGGGGTAGGGTTATGAAATGTGCCAACACCTTCTCTCTGAAGCTGTGTGTGTGTTGGCAGTTCATTGTATGGCTCACACAATGTGTCTTGTTTGGCTTTGGATACAGGACATACCTTGTGATTTTCATCATTTCTGGACGCCTCAACCCCGCTGGCAGGATGACCTGGTGAGCCCCAGCCCACTACCTGGCCCTCAGTGCACACAGTAGCACACAGTGAAGATCTCCTTCACTCAAGGGGCTAGCCTGCCACACATGCTCAGTTTCCCAGAAGCCTCTGCCATGTATGGCAAGGTTCCTGCCCCTGTAGGACAAGGTGCACTAAGGTGCACTGCCTCCTCTCTGGGAAAGGTGATGGCCCCAGTTTTCAAGTTGTGGGGCAAGGCCAGAGGACAAGGTTCCAAGCTGCTCTCCAAGAGGCTGGGGAGTCCCCACGTGCAGGAAGCTCAGGTGGGGAGGTGTGGGGAGGTTCGTTTCCTGCTGCTTCTTGGTAAGCCGAATTGTATTCGTGGTGTCATGGCATTCCTGACTCTCTGTGGCTGGTTAGAGGCCCAGAGCTGGGAACAGCTTGCAATGCTTGCTAGGGATCAGAATGTTCCTAGCTCTCTCCAGCTTCCCAGGGACCAATGACTTCCTTCAAAACTCTCTGGGTGCCAAAGCAATAAGACAGACATACAGAAAACAAGGCCACCCTGCCCAATCGTCTGCCACTGCCCCACCTAACTTATGTGCCCTACAAATATTCCAGAGGGCATATATCACTAGAATACAGACTCCATTGTCTCAGTTAGGGTCATTATTGCTGTAATAAAATGCTATGACCAAAGAAACTTGGGGTGGGGGGAAGGGTTTATTTGTCTTATGCTTACACATCCCCGTTTATCACTGAGGGAAGTCAGGACAGGAACTCACACAGGGCAGGAACCTGGAGGCAGGAGCGATGCAGAGGCCATGTAAGGGGGCTGCTTACTGGCTTGCTCCCCATGGCTTGCTCAGCCTGCTTTCTTATAGAACCCAGAACCACCTGCCCAGGGAGGATGCCACCCACAGAGGGCTGGACCCTCCCCCATCAATTACTAATGAAGAAAATGTTCCACAAGCTTGCCGACAGCCTGAACTTGTAGAGGCATTTCTTTTTTCAATTGAAGCTTCCTCCTCTCATGGCTCTAGCTTGTGTCAAATTGACATAAAACTAACCAGTACATCCATGTAACTAAGCCAGTCCTTATCTGTCCTCCCCTGCGGTCTGAAAGACCTTATCCAGTGCCTAGTTTATAATAACTGCCCGGTGATCATGTTTTCATTCATTCAGCATCCATTGAGTGCCTCTTGGGGACTGGTGTTGTTTGTGGGAGTTGCAATGATGAGCAAGCTCTGTCACAGCCTTGTCTGCAGAGAGCCTGCAGTTCAGTGAGCATCAAAGGCAGTAATAAAGTGATTTGCAAGGGTCCCAGGGGAGCCATGGCCTTTGGATATCACAGCTGGCTCAGTGAAGTGCGTATGTCTTTAGCCCTCCACCATGCACACATATTTATCGAGCGCTGGCCTGCTCATGTACTTAGTAGGCATAGAAAAGACAAATAGGATTCTTGAGATGCTCCCAGGCAGGTGAGCAACAGAGGAGCTAGGAAGCATGGAACCTAAGAAATGAAACGATGATAAGTAATAAGTGATCACGATTCAAGAGCTCCTGGCTCTGCTGTAGCCGTACCTGGGAGACTGGAATATTACGAGGGTTTTTTCAGAAAGGAAAGATAATCTTCATGAGGACCAAGAGGAGACGCCTGAGCATGGCATGGAAGCATAGAAATGTGTTGTCGGGAAGGACTGTGAAGCATCAGACTGGCTGGCTCGTTACAAGTGGGAGGGAAAATGTGCCAATGAGCTGCCTGAACAGAGTGTGCGCGCTACAAAGATTAAACAGCAGAAAGCCATTTCCCTGGGTCCGGTCTCGAGGTCGGGGCGCCAGCATGGTCAGGTTCTGGTGAGGGCTCCCTTTCTGGCTTATGGATAGACAGCTGTCGGCATCTCTTTGCTGTGCCCTCACACAACAGAGAGAGCTGTGTGCCTCTTCCACTTCTGATATGGACACTCATCCCAACATGGGGACCACATCCTCATGAACTCATCTGAAGCCAATAACCTCTCTAAATGCCATCACCTTGGGTTAGGGTTTTGACACAAGCACGCAGCCTAAGAATAGAAGAGAAAGCTTTGTTCCATGGTTGAGGTAGGACAGGGAAAAGCCCAGACCCAAGTGCTCAATACACGTTGTGGAATAGGGTAGGAGTGGGAATCTGGCAGTAGAGGATCATGGGAGCGCCATCAGCCTTCTCTTTCCCAAGACTCACATGATAACCCGTGTTCAAGCAGACAGCCTCCTAGGCGATCAAGCCACATCCTCATGGGACACCCTGTGGCAAGCTCAGGAGGACTAGGATAGAAGGATATTTTAATACGGCTGAGTGACACCAAGTTGCCGTCACATAGTAAGTGCTCACCTCGAGAAATGCAAACCGCACCTGGCCAGGGACCCTTGAGCTCTGCAGCACTGGTCTCCACCCACCAGTTTGGGGTTCTCACCTTCAGCAGAGGCACCCGTGCCAACCGCCTCCCTTCGAGAGAAGCACACAGCTTCAATTCCTGCTGACAGTTACACCTCAGTGGAGCGCAGACGGGAGCCCCGGGGGCCACTCTACTCTGGCATGTGGGTTTCTGGCTGGTGGGAAAGCAGACCTCCTTAGCCCGTGGCTTGGTTCTCTTGGCCCACTGAGGATACCTTGTCAACAACCTGCTGATAGAGGATGAAGTAAGGACATACTGCTTCTCACAGGAAGTCGGGGCCCTAGAGGTGAGGGCCAGACAGAGAAACACAGCAAGGAGCACAGTGGTTGGCATACAGAGAGAATGTGGTGATATTGTGTTCTCCAAAATATTGTACACCGTAATAAACTTACCTGGAGTCAGAGAACAGAACAGCCACCAGATAGACATAGAGACCAGAAAATGGTGGCACACACACACATACACCTTTAATTCTAGCATTCCGAAGGCAGAGATCCATCTTGATCTCTATGAGTTCAATGTCACACTGGAAACAGCCAGGCATGGTGACACGTGCCTTTAATCCCAGGAAGTGACGACAGGAAGCAGAAAGGTACATAAGGCGTGAGGACCAGGAACTAGAGCTGGTTAAGCTCTTAGGCTTTTGAGCAGCAGTTCAGCTGAGATCCATTTGGATGAGGACTCGGAAGTTTCCAGTCTGAGGAAACAGGATCAGCTGAGGAATTGGCGAGGTGAGGTGGCTGTGACTTGTTCTGCTTCTCTGATCTCCCAGCATTCACCCCATTACCCAGCTCCAGGTTTGTTTTTATTAATAAGACCTTTTAAGATTCATGCTACAAGAGAGTCTCACATGATGAGGTAGAGGTCCCAGAGAACTCCTGTGCCTCTGATTTTAGGGATCAAATTACCCCTAAAGTTGCCATATGTGACTTGGGATCTGATTTCTCGGCTCTGTCTGTCCTTTCTTAGAACCATGGGCACAAAGAGGACATCCTCTGTGTGGCTCAGTGCCCGCCTTTTCTTCTGGCCACCTCCAGTTACGACGGAGAGATAATAGTTTGGAATGTCATCTCAGGCCACATGCACTGCAAGCTGAACCCTCCTGGGTCCATGGATGAAGGTAGGTAAGGGGCAGGCAGACTCTGCAGCCTCTGCACACAGAACACTTCCCATCAGCTTGAACTTGGCAAACTGAAGGAGTCTCCATTCTGGGCCCCTTCCTGCTTGGGAGGGATTGGCCCTGTGTCTTGTTTCCCTCCCAAAGCAGGGAGAAAGCTTAAGGATTCAAAAGTCCAGCCCACATCTCTGGACGCCTGTCCATCAAAGTCCATCTCATAGTCACTTGGAGGTCTTTGTTTATGGGCTCCCAACCGGAAGGATGTTCCCCTGAGCCCTCCAGCTTTGCTGTAACCCTTCTTCCTGACACATGCTTCTCCCACCCAGCTAGCAAGCCTGTTCCCAGGTCCAGTCCAGACACTGTCCCCTCAACATCTCATCCATCTGCCAGTTTTCAGGCTTCCATGCTGTCCTCCTCACACTCTGCCTCCTCTGGTGGCCCATGACCTACAACAGATCTACCTCAATCCCCAACCTGACCTTACGGCTTGAGTATTCGATTGCAAAACTTCACACACACACACCCCCCCCACTGGATTTGTTTGCCTGGCTCCATTTCTTCATTTCTCCTCCTCCTCCTCCTCCTCCTCCTCCTCCTCCTTCTCTTCTCTCTCTCTCTCCAGTGTTTCTCTGTATAGCCCTGGCTGGAACTGCCTCTGTAGACCAGACTGGCCTCACATTAAACATGTGTGCCACCACCATTTTTAGCCTGGTTCCATTTTTCTTCAGGGTCCTCTCTGTCTGCTAATGATCATGGCCTCATTCATTTCTGTAGTGATCAAAGCAATGATGAGGAGCACCTGCCATGTGCCTGGTCCAGCACTGAGTGTGGGGGATTGAGCCCAGTTATAGCCCTTTCCTGAGTCCCGAACCTCTTTTTTCTTTTTTTTTTTTTTTTTTTTTTTCTCTGCGTAGTTTTGCGCCTTTCCTGGAGCTCACTTGGTAGCCCAGGCTGACCTGGAACTCACAGCGATCCGCCTGGCTCTGCCTCCCGAGTGCTGGGATTGAAGGCGTGCGCCACCACCGCCCGGCTTATTTTTACTATTTTTACAAAGAAAATATTTTCCAGTTTCAAATAACCCTGGACTTTTTAATTATAACCTGTTTTTATGTTCAAAAAAATTAAATAGATCACACATATATTTTAATTATTTATTATTATTTAGAATTTTATATATATATATCAAGAGCTGGGCACAGTGGTGCACACCTTTAATTCCAGGAGTTGGGAATCAGAGGCAGGAGGATCTCTGTGAATTTGAGGCCAGCCTGCTCTATATAATATAATGAGTTCCAGGACAGCCAGGATTACATAGAGACATAGTGTCTCAAAAAATAAATGTAGATATATACATAAACATATATGACATATCTACTTTTTAGTCACACTTTTTATCACTGTTGAAAATACCTGAGAGAAACAATTAAATTTTTTTCAGTTTGGGGTTTTTTTTTAGGGTTGGTATTTGTTAGGTTTTTTTTCTTTCTGGAGCTGAGGACCGAACCCAGGGCCTGCGCTTGCTAGGAAAGCGCTCTACCACTGAGCTAAATCCCCAACCCCCAGATTTTTTTTTTAATTATATGTCTATGTGTAGGTATGTGCACATGAGTGTGGATGCCCAAGGAGGCCAGAGGCCTAGAATTGTCCTAAATCTGGAGTCACAGGTGGGTATGTATCACCTTGCATGGGTGAAGTCCTTCAAAGAGCGGTATGTGTTCTTAACCACTGAGCCACCTCCCCAGGGCCTCGGTTTTGTTTTGTTTTTGTTTTGCGACAGGGTCTCTCTTTGTAGCACTGGCTGTTCTGGAACTCAATATGTAAATTGGGCTGGTCTTGAACTCACAGAAATCCCCCTGCCTCTGTCTCCTGAGTGCTGGGATTAAAGGAGTGTGGCACTACTCCAGACTCGGGTTTTGTGTCTTTTTTTTTTTTTTTTTTTTTTTTTGTGAGAAACAGTTTTAAAGGAGAAGAGATTTATTTTAACTCATACTTTGAGACATGTCTGTCAGCTGCTTCCACTGCCTGGAGCAAGGCTCTGCCTGCAGGACCATGCAGTAAACAAAATAGCTGGCGTCAGAGCACCCAGGAATGGGGGTGGGAGGGCAGGACAGACAGACAAGTAAGAGAAGAGAAGGGAGGAAGAATATAACAGAGGCTCCAGTCCCTACTTCCTCTACCCAGGCCCCACCTTGTAAACTTTCCCACCACCTCCCAATAATGCTGTCTAATTCTGTCATGATTATGAAGTCAGAGGGCTCAGCACCCCATCACTTCCCAAAAGCCTAGTCACCGCAAACAAGTCCCCAACACATGAAGGGATATACCCTATTAAAACCATAACAATATCATTTAATTTAGCTTAGTAAAAGTATCAGAGAGACCAGACAGGTTTTGTTTTTGTTTTTGTTTTTACTTTTTCTTGTTTTCAGAGCTTGGGATCGAACTCTATAAGTTTGAGGCCAGCCTGGTCTACAGAATGAGTTCCAGGACAGCCATGGCTACACAGAGAAAGCCTATCTGGGAAAAAAAAAAAAAAAAAAAAGTGGGTCTTTGTTTGGTTTTTGTTTTTGAGATGGGGGTCTCACTATGCAGTCCTAGCTAGCCTGGAACTTGATATGTAGACCAGGCTGACCTTGAATTCACAGAGATCTGTGCATCTCTACCTCTGAGTGATGGGACTAAAGGCATGCACCACCATGCTCAGCCAAATTATTTTGTGTTTTAATTATGTTTACATGTGTGTATCTGTTGGGGGGGGATGCATGTGGGAGGGTGCACATGTGTGTGGGCGCCCTCAGAGGCCAGAGAGGAAAGAGGATTCCCTGGAGCTCAAGTTATATGCAGTTGTGAGTAGCCAGGTATGAGTGCTGGGAACTGAACTTAAGTTCTCTGGAAGAGCAGCAAGTACTCTTAACTGCTGAGCCATCCCTCCAGTCTGAAATTTTTTTTAAGATATTTATTTATTATGTATACAGAAGAGGGCACCAGATCTCATTACAGATGGTTGTGAGCCACCATGTGGGTGCTGGGAATTGAACTCAGGACCTCTGGAAGAGCAGTCGGTGCTCTTAACCTCTGAGCCATATCTCCAGGCCCTAGTCTGAAATATTTTTAAAGAATTTATTTATTTTATTATTTTGTGTGTGTGTTTCATCAGCATATGCACCTGTATGTGCACCGCATGTATTCCTGGTGCCCAAAAAGATCAGAAGAGAGGGCATCGGAATCCCTGGAACTGGAGCTGCAGAGCATCGAGAGCATCCGGTGGGTGCTGGGAACAAAACCTGGATCCTCTGCAAGAGCAGCCAAGGGTCTTAACTGCTGAGCCATCTCCACAGCCTCTTCCCACACTGGAAAAAGAAATTTTTTTTTTTTTTTGAAACAAGGTCTCACTATTTAACCCCAGCTGATCTATGTTGTAGGGCATTCACCAGAGAAGACTGGTCGAACATGCATTTAAGCCAAGAGAAAGTCTTTATTAGCCATCTGATGACTACACTGGGTGTTTGGGGTCCCAGTGTACCCCTGAGCCTTTCTCAGAGTGAGCTTTTAAGCACAAAAACCATATCCTGGGTTGACACACTTCAGTTAACAAGAACAGTTAGCCAGAAGCAGAACTACAGAAGCCAAAAAGCAAGATTAGTGCATTTAGAGACTTTCCCAGAACTATGGACTTTGATGGATTAGGTCTTTGTTTCATTTTGGCTGGTGGTGCTGTTCACGTGCTGAGTTTTACAGCCTGAATGGTACTTCCATCACAGACTCAGTGGTGCTAAAGTCTCAGGGTCTAAGTAAGGTCTGGGGCCCTGTTACAATCTAGAATTCTAGAATTCTGTATAGACCAGTGTCTTTTTTGTTTTGTTTTGTTTTGTTTTGTTTTTCGAGACAGGGTTTCTCTTGTGTAGCTTTGCACCTTTCCTGGAACTCACTTGGTAGCCCAGGCTGGCCTTGAACTCACAGAGATCTGCCTGGCTCTGCCTCCCAAGTGCTGGGATTAAAGGCGTGCGCTGCCACCACTGCCCGGCTATTATCTAGATATATAAAATAGTAATTATTATTATTATTTGTTTTTTTGAGACAGGGTTTCTCTGTGTAGCTTTGCACCTTTCCTGGAACTCACTCTATAGCCCAGGCTGGCCTCGAACTCACAG